GCAGCTGGATGCAATAATCGCATGCCAATGTGCATTGGCTCGTTTAGTTTACACCCGAAGTGGATTGGTCTCTCTAAGCGAGATCCCAATTTCGTCGGTCATCCGACGTGACGTCGAGAGTGACCGACTGAAAGGGAACTCTGATTCATAACACGGGATCTGTTAGTGACTGGAAACGTTACTCAGAATTTTAGATAAGTTCACAACCCCAAAAATGGGTCTCAGTGCTGTTTGGACAGCAGGGAAAAAATAAGGCTTAATGGAAAAAATATAAATAAATAAAATGTTATATATAGATATATAATATATATTTAATATAATATATATTTGTTTATCTGTAAAATATATTTATTTTTATACTATCTCAAATCAATAAAAAAAAATCAAGGCTTAATGTAAAAAAAATACAAAAATGTAAAACACAAACACGTATATTAACAAATAATTTTGTTTGTTTATTTGTAATATATAATTATTATTTTTACCTTGTTAACTTAAATGCAAAAAGCACTATAATAAATATTTATATTATGTGAAAATATATGTAATATATTTTTTATTAATTATTAATTTATCAATTGTTTTATTATTATTTTTTTATCTCGAGTCATCTTTTTGTTTCTTCCTCTTGTTTTCCAGAGATGCTAAATGTGGGAAAATACAGTGTCAGGGCGGAGCCAACCGGCCGGTGATTGGCACCAATGCTGTCTCCATAGAAACCAACATCCCGCTCCAGGAAGGAGGGCGTATCCTCTGCCGTGGGACTCATGTGTACCTGGGAGACGACATGCCGGATCCGGGCCTCGTGCTCACCGGCACCAAGTGTGGAGAAAACATGGTAAAGAGAGTAAATGAGATGACCATTGCTTATTTAATGTAACTCAAGCTTGTTCAGATCACCAACATCAAGACGGCAGAATGGGTTCAATTGCATTGCTATGCTGTTTCTAGGGTATTTCGAGTGAAACTAGAGCGTATGTGTGGATTGTTTAACTATTGCTTTTTTGTTAACTAGTCACTTAAGTCTATTATTATTATTTTAATGATTAGCTTTAGGTTTGTCTATATGTATGTGTGTGTATATATGTGTGTGTATA